GCTTTCCGGGCGTAAGAGCGAAAGAAGGCCAGGTCCTGCTCCTCCTCACCTTGTGACGTTTCTTGGGCGCCACTTGGCTAATCGAAGTCGACTGAAAGAATTTGATTGGGGGCCGTGACTGCATTCCAATCCGCTCTCGTTTTTGGAGCTTGGTCGCTGACCTAGAAAAGTTTGTAACGCGGACTAAAAATGGGACATGAGTCTGAATGTTGGCAAGTCCATTGGACAAACTGACTTGCTTTCTGAGATATAACTCCGGTCTTGTCTCTAGGACTACAGTTACAGAGGCTGGACAGGTGACTTGAACAGTCATTTCCGTGCCTGCCGGAATTTCGACGGCCTTTGTAATTCTGAGAAATATATCTCCGTTTCGTTTGGTATATTCACGTCGGTGAATTCCCGTGTCCGACTCCTGGTGGGCGTCATCGCAGGACTCCTTTGAATAGGGACTTCGTCTCCGGAGCGTAGCTCGACTGATCTTCTTCGGATATGAACGGCGGAAACATGGTCGTCCAGGAACGTACAACCCAATATGGCGTCTGCGCCTAATTGTCGTACGACAATGAATGGTTATCTCATGTGATAGCTGCCTAGCGCTACTGCAAGGTGGATTATTCCAACAGTCTCAAGCCGGTGATGCAAGGCGTTTGACAAAGAGACCAGCTCTTTTGAATTGTCAATTTGACTTTGTGCTTCCGGTGACAGCATGTCCAACCGAATCAAGTTTGGACCTGCTCGCGTGTCTAAGACGGTAAGCGCACTTCCCAATGATTTCTTCGAGAGGCCAATGAAGGCAGCGACCTTGTATTTGTACGTAGACAAGGCGCAGATGGGGTTCATCTGATATTGGTCAAGTCGAATCCAGCGGGGTAGACCATATGGTCGTTCAAGAATTTTTTCGGTTGTGATGTCAAGAGACGATACTGAGCCATCGCTCTCATCCTGGTCTGAGTAGGAAGAAACTCTGTGACGGTGAGCTTGGCGTGTCGGGGAGTCATATGCCGCCTTTTTAGGACCACTTTTTAGTTGCAATAAATCCAGTTTGTCTCGTAAGACCATGATTTGTCTTTCTGACGCTTGCATACGGGCTACTAGTGCCTCATGGTTCTGCAATGACACAGTGTCGTCGTAGATGCCATAGACTTGGTCTGTAATGCTTGTTTCTGTCTCTTGACGAATAGCCGGGATGGCTATCTTTAGTTTGGCATCGATCTGATTGGAAACGAATTCTTTGATCTGTTCCCAAAATTCTTCAGACGATGCAGTACTTCCTGCGGGAATGTTCTCATCCGGTGGCCCATCTCGAGGATATGTGGCGGCCAGGCTTTGGGCGGAAGCTCCTGCGCCTATATACTTGCCAGGTTGGCTCGGTGCTTCTTTGGTCTTTGCGACCATTGCAGCTGTTAAATCAGCTTGTTGCCATAACGGCGGGTTAACTTGAGTTCGGAAGGGTTACATCGATCGTGAGCGAACGACACGGCGACGAGCCAGATTCATTCGTCTCGCGCTTGACACAACCATCCCTTCTTGCCAGCAAAAGTAGTTGTAGTTGGTTGTTAACCTCTTCTAGGTCGGGAGACCATTGTAGTATAGTAGCGGTCGCCAGCTATGAGCTAGCTCGAGGAAGAGGTAACAACCAATAGGGGGTGTCCCGCAGTAGATCGGGACTGTGGTAGAGCAACGGGGAAGTACGTCGGCCGACTGTAAAAGCACGACGTACTGGTCGAAGTGCGGACCCGGAATGGGGCCAGAACTGGAAGGGGTGGTGTAAGAACACACAAAACAGGGGGAATCCGAGCCTAAAGACTAGTGTCAGACACGGGCGGAGCGCCGAGTAGCGGGAACTCCTAGAGGGACGAGCGGGACAGATGTCAATAGTGCCGCCAAGGCCAGAGGCTTGTCGTAGCCCGCGACTTGACAATCGTCACAATGCAGGGAGAGAGAAATAGGCCGTGCGACAGTAATACGCCCAGGCTAGAGGCCAGTCTTAGCCCGCGTGGTCGCAACGACAGAGTAAAAAGGAAAACAATTGAAACGTCGAGCGACAGTAACACGCCGAGGTTAGAGGCTAGTCTTAACCCGCGTAGTCGCAAAGACGGAGGAATGGAAAAGGTAAAGTAAAGGCAATAGAAGCCAGGGAAACGTCGCAAGACAGATGCCGACAATGTCGCCTAAGTCAGAGGCTTGTCTTGACCCGCGGTGTCGCACCGTCGAAGGAAATCCGTTCCCAAAAGATCCTTGACTGTTTACTGTCATTGCCCGGCGCCGTCGCTTAAATAAGCGAGGTCGCGGGGTCTTGGACATTGTCCGTCCTACTGTACTACTGTACTCTATTATGTAATGCACTGTACTGTGCCATTACTACTGTACCTTGTCATATACAACCTCCGGGCTGTAATGTATACAGTAGATCTTCCGCCTGTAAGGCACACGTGTAGGCGTCCGCCTGTAATGCCCGTGTGAGCGTGCGCGTGCGCTTGTAATGCACACGTGTGGGCGTGCGCCTGTAATGAACAGGCGCCGTCGGGTACTGTACACATCCTGGCAATGATACCACAGTCGTCGCCGATGATATTTCCGCGACTGGTGCCGTCTACTCAGACCATCCCGAAACCCGCCTCAGACATTCCGCAACACTCCTTCCCATCCCGTCCTTCCCCTCCCCTTTCTTTCCTAGCCCTCACTCAATACCCCTACCCCTCCTAATTCTCTCTTCAACTCCCGCACCATCATCAGGCCGCACAACATGCCCTCATCCCCTTCGTCTGTCCCAAGGACGCCGCCTCTAGGTCCTGGTGGATCACATGCGACCGTTCCTGACACGCCCCCATCAGCTTCCCGCCGGCATTCGAAGGCAGCAACTGCATTTCTAGTCAAACGTATGCCGGCCAACACAAAACGTGCCAACATATCCTCTCTCAAGGCACTGGCCCGCTTCACAACATCACGTCCCGGATTTTTGGATGCTGCGTTCAAAGGGGAAGAGCATCTGCGCGACCACATTCTCATGGGCGAGTCTCGTTCAGAATGGGAAATTCTAGAGACACGGAAGGCCGTATTTCCTGACTGCAACTACAGCCACATACCAGCGCACCACACTGCTTGGACGACCCAGCAGCTAAAAACCGTACGGTTCCATCTCATTGAATTCGTTGTAAACTACCGGTCGAAGTCCGGTGAGGAAGTCAAGCCAATTGCTATGAGAGGCTACATTTTAGGGCTTCAAAGAGCATTCAAATATGAGTGGGGTTATGATCTAAAGCTTCTCGAAGGGGATGTTTTCAATTGTCCAGCAGAAGGGCTCATGGCTGTGCTAGACAACAAGTTTAGCTTGCAGCAATCGACGGGAGTTGTGGCTGAGAGCGACAACGTACTGTCGAAAGAAGACGTCATCAAGCTTTATGAGTCGCCACTGCTGGACCGCGATACGCCCCTGGGATTTCAAGCACGTCTAGTATTTAGTGTCGCATTGATCACAGCAATGCGCCGTTCTGCATTGGTGCATTTAACAGTTGGACAAGTGCAGAAAATAACTTGTGGCGGGGAGCAGGTGTGGAAAATATGTGGAGTTATTGGCAGCCGCGTGGGTGCTTCGAAAACGGCGACGGGAGGGTGGAAGGCTGTCCAGGACAAGCCTCAGGAGGTGTGCGTTGGGAACAGGACGTGTCTTGGCGGCAAGCTCAATTTATTTGAGGATCTCGAAGACTACATGCGGATTAGGAACTCGCTCGATTGCGGAAGCGACCGATTCTTTTTGGCAGCTAATGCTCGCGCAACGACGTTTGAAAACTTTTTCAAGCGCCAGCACCTAGGCCGGAATGCATTTGCACGTATTGTGGGGAGCATCTGTAGAAAGGAGGGAATTACAGGGACTGGATTCAAGCAAGGTATGACGTTGCATTGATTGAGAGGCTCTGTGGTGACGTTGCTGTTCGAGGACGGCCAGAACGATGTGAATGTTGCAATGAGAACAGGACACCGTGATCTGTCGTCATTGAAAAACTACCACAACCTACGAGGTGCTCTCCGAATGCAGCAACAAGCCGCAATTTTTGGAGACTCAAATGCGAATCGTCAGAAGGTGGAGGTCGGGTGTGAAGATCAGGTGGCGCAGGACGGACAAGAAAACTTAGCAGCAGGCGGTGAGGTGGAGGAATGTTTTCAGGAAGGTGGCACAGAAAAAGAAGACAGTAATATGCGCCTTTTATCTGGCGTCCAGAATATCAGCGGGGGCGTTTTCACTATTAATGTGAACAATCACTACCGCTAAGACTACTTTTGGTATGTCGCATCGTCAGTAGTGTTCTCTATAGTACGCTCGAGTAAACTTTGTCGTCCTGATTTGTCTGCACAGTAGTGCAGACAAATAATGATTTGTCTGCGCAGTAGTGCAGACAAATAAGGGCCTTGCCCTACTGTGTTCGATTTTGTTAAGCTTGTTGCCCGAATTGTCGCCGCGGTAGTGCAGACAAATCAGGGCCTTACGTTTGTCCCGTATGTCACGGTGCGTATGTCCCCCTCAACCGGTAGACAATTACGAGTGTGTCGCACCCGACAGCGCCTTACCTTGGCCATTCGCTTCTGCAGTATACATCATTTGCATTTGATGTCAGGTATGTTCTCCCTCCGCCATTATACATTATAAAACCACCGTTTTCCATTGCGAAGCATTGACGCCTGCATTGCCATTACTATTTGAGCACCAGCACCGTTTTGCCACACTTTTATATGTCCACTTTTAACCACTCCTGGATCAACTGTGGCGACCATGTCGTATTGTAGTAACTCGTAACACCGAACTGCAGTTAAATCTCACTGTTTACGCTGATGTCCATTTACGTGGTCATTATGACGGCCATGTCCAGAAATTCCCAACATACAAACATAAACAAGAAGAGGAAAAAACCAAACCGCCTTTCAGGGCTCGCACTCTTACGGCTGAGCGATTGATGTCATTGTTAAACTATTACACCCCCTTGCAGCAAACGCACACTGTACGGTCAAGATTGGTGACGCCATTGCCGATGGCAGCTTCTCGGATAACAAGGCAGTTGCTGATGCACTGAAAAATGCGGCAGCTGTTCGTTTCCTCGTTCCGTGCCCTGTTCTTCACTCCTTTCCACCCCATTCTCATTTGCTTCTCCATTTATCTCTGTAGCTGCAGCCTCATTCACCTCTGTAGCTGCAGCCTCATTCACCTGCCCATTGGACTCTTCGTTCTGCTGTACAACCGCCTCTGTATGGCTATGCTCAGGGGTCTGCTCGCCCTGCTGTTCACTTGCGTGATGGATGTGCTCTTCACGGGAGTTTTCAGGTTGCTCCACTTGTTCAATTTCATTTGCTTTTTGGTTTTCCACTGCTTCTTCTTCTTGCCGTTCGGTTTGCTCTTCACCTTGAACTACTTGCATTTCTTCCACATCTTGCCTCTCGTCGTGATCCCCCGTCACCTCAATAACTTCTTGCCTTGGACGCTCATACTCCTCTTTTGGCACAACGTCACCGTGTGCTTCGATGTGCACGTGGATTGCCTGCCCACTCCTCACTTGCGCGACGAACTCCCTCAAAACCGCTCTGCTTCCGGAACTCAGCTTGACTGATTGCCCTTCTTGGCGTATCCGATCCATGATCTTATCTAACACCCCAGCGCTTGTCTCAAGACTTTGCATTGCGCTGGTAAGGGTAAGCCCGTTCTGAAGCTCGCCCAGAAAAAACATCTCTGACGCTCTTTGGGCACTCTTAGTTTGTTCAGGTTGCTCACACCCTGATGTGCTTTTCGCAAAGAAAGCACAACAGCGTCGGTGACATTCCTTCGCGTTCCATACACGACAAGGATTGGCGTCTCCGACGACCTCGCTCACACCTTGATAGCGTGTTCGCTTTGTAGGTGGCATTCCATCTACTCGGGATCCGTCTTCCAATCTCCGCTTCTCGCTTCCGATACCGTCCAACACCTCATTTTTCGCTACAGAATCCATCAGACCCTCAGCAGGTGCACCTGCAATATCTGCCAATGGCGCGCCCGCCTCTACTGCCGCAGCCAGGAGCGCAACTTGGTGCATATCCGTTTCAACCTGGCTTGCTATTGAGGGTCGTCCTACGTCGGCAACTTCACGCGTCGTGTCGCCTCGTACCTCTGCATGATGGTCCTCCGATGTGACGGCTGCAGCAGCCATCATGGGACTGCTGCCTGTACCATCCCTTAAAACCTTTCCCTTTTTAGACGCCCTGGCATATATCCCGCTTTTCACATAGCTTCTTCTGCCAGTCTTGACCGCTGTCTGAGACGGGTGATGCTTTTTATGCCGGGCCCTCCGATTCTTAAACCACAGCACCATGTTATGCATTGGCATTCCTATTGTGGTTGAGAGGTAATGTAACGTAGCGGCAGAAGGGGTTGGATCCTGTTGGAAAGCTTGTATGAGCAGACGCAATTGCTCCGCAGATGCATGGTAACGCTCTGAGGTACGCCGCCTTGAAGCATTTGCATTGTTGTGGTTCCCTCGGGCGAACGACCCAACCGGTTTCTCGATTTCCATCGGCCGGTCTGGAAGTGCACCCGCAGACAAAATGCCATCTGCACCCGCGGGCTGCAACGGCCCCTCAGGCACAACCACGGTTGCAGCCTCTAACAAAGGCTCATGTGTGTGTTGCTGCTCGGAGTGCTCAGCTTCAATAGCCCCCTCTGGCACAGCGCCATGCGGTTGCACCTCCTCATCGTGCTGTGCCTGTTGTTCCTGCGACCTATCCGCTTGTGCCTGCGGGTCCCCCGCGTGCTCTTTATGCTCATGCGGAGGAATGTCGTCATGCTCGTGATGGTGGTACACGGCCTCATGAACGCAGAGTTCTGTGGCATGCTCGTGCTCTACGGCCTCCGCGTCCCCTTCATCAGCTTCCTCCTCCTCCGGGCGAACGTCGTGGGCATGCCCGCATGGCCGAGTAGGCCTCTCGTCGGGGTGTGTGTGGTCGTGTTCGTGATGCTCATCGGAATCGGGAAGGGGCGCGTCGTGCGGGGGGGGCGGGGCCTGGTCTTGGTCGTTCGTTTGCTCCTGTTCGTGCTCGTGCTCAGGCACGGGCTCCTGCTCGTGGTGTTGTTCGTGCTCATCGGAGGCGTCCATAGCGGAAGAGCGGAGAGCGGAATTGGCTCCCGAGAAGATCCGGTTCACGGTCTAGCCGCAGATCCAGAGGGACTGCGATCGGCTCCTTGAGCACCTAAGGTTGAGCTCTGTACACAACCGAATTCGTCATCAACCGCGTCGCTGTCGGCCTCGAGAAAGGGTGAAATAACAAAATCGCCCGGGCAGGGGCTTGTAATTGTTTACGGTAATTACACGGCCACAGTTGGTAGAGTTCAATTGCGCAATTACGTTTTGATGCTCGCTTTCCTTGCTTTCCTACGATTCGAGCGATTACTCAGGAGGTGCTCTGATTAGGACTCCCCATTCGAAGGGCGATGGGCACGTCGAGTACACGCCCGAATGACAATGGCATCGCAAGAGCCAAACCTTGACGTCTCCTCGCATTCAGAACTACAAACAAAGTCTCACTCTCACACAACCGCGACTTCCCCCGTACTTTCCCGCGCCCCCTCCCGCCGTAGCCGCGGTCTCAGACCCTCCTCCCCCAGTGCGCTCTCTCTCACTCTCAGCGCGCCATCCTCCATTCCTGATTTTCTGCATCGCACCGGCCACGGGACGTACATCGGGCTCTTCGAAGCCACAGGTCTGTCTCTTCTGCATGTCCTCTGTCTTTCTAGTGAGGAGCTTCGCGATGACGTTGGCGTCGAGATCCTTGCGCATCGGCGCAGTCTGCTGATCGCCTTCGCGGAGGAGCGTACCCGGCTCTCAATGGTGCATCCCCGTGCGAGTACCGGAGCTGCGTCGGTACCTGAATTCGGCAGAATCCTCGCGCATTTGTCCAATGTGCGGACGTTGCACTCATGGATGCGCATGGGAGGGCAGCTGGCTATCTTTGCACTTGCCTTCCCTTCTCTCGTTCCCTTTGTCGGGAAGGAGAATTTAGTCACAGGCTTCGCATTTGGGCTAATTGGTGCTGCATTGCTCTTACACGCGTACGGCGCACTTCGGTATTGGGGAGTACTCATGACGTTGGAGCGAAAACAGGAGTTTAAGGCTGATTGCTGGGGCGTTGCAGGTGTATTGCTACTGGTATTGGCTGTTGCAGGCGTTGTCGGGGCCATACTAGGCATTGGTGGGCGCCCCGTGACGGTAACCGACTGATCCTGCACTCTGCTTGTCCCCTGCGATGCTGCAATTAAAGCGTTTATATGTCAACTATCCAGGTGTTACATCTGGATCTTTGCTGCGTCGATCATGTCCATTAATTTGCCTTGTTGGAGAAGTTCGATCGTATCTGGTTTTGAAAGAAACACGCGCAAGGTCGAAAGTTAGAATCGCAAGGTCTGTCGCCTGTGCCGTGACAATATCTTCGCAACCACGTACCGTCGCATCCGCCTACATGTTTCCCGCCAATGAAGACATTTGGCACTGTTGTTTGTCCGGTTTCCTCCGCGAGGAAGCGTCGGATCTCGCCGCCATCCGTTCGCAAGTCGACTTCCCACACGGTGTGCTCAGCGCCGAGTTCTTCGAAAAGGGCTCTAACGCGCGTGCAGTATGGACAGTAAGAACCTGAAAAGACCATTATTGGCGAAGATGCGATTGCGTTGCGAGCAGTTTCAGCGGCGGAAGAAGCTGTTGCACAGACCCATCGGGAAGGCGGTCGGCGGGCTGGTTGAGTAGAGGGCTTTGCGACAGTCCGACGGCACACTAGTGCTCCTCCAGGTGTGGTCAGGGGAAAGGCCCGTGCAAGCGCAGAGGCGAAGGCGAGCGGCATGCTGAAGACGGTGCAACCGACGATGAATAAGACGCGAGCAAGGGTGACGATAATTAGCACGCCAACTTTCCGCCTCCGAAGTCTATCGCCAGTACACGCCTACTTCTGAGCTCTAAATTACTGCCCTCTCTTTCCTCTTCCACTCATGTGAACCACAAAGCAGATGATGCCCTGCTACAGGCTAGATTTTGGGGGGACCAAATCAGCTCCGAGAGCTGATTCCTGAATTTATTGCTAAATAAAAAAGAAGGTGGCAACTTGAAATCCGACAATTCCCGCCATCTAACCTATTTGAAATTTCAAATAGAATTCTCAAAGAAGTATCGGGCTCTACCAAGGGTAGTGTAGTAAGCCCTTCCCTCGGTGCGTTCGCTACTTGCGCTAACAGCAAATGAACAGAACTCCCTTTCTATCACCCAGCTCCGTCTTGTTCCTTGTTTCACAAATCTTCAGATTTCTGCTCTCCTTACTCTTCCGCGCCTTCTCCCCTCTCTCCAGCGCCATGCCGGCCACATCCCCAACTCCCCGCCATGTCCTCACCAAGACGACGCCAGAGGGCAATGACGGGCGTCCCTTTCGATCTCTGCTTCGTAAGCGAGACGCTGAGTTCAAGGCGCTGCAAACACAAAACTTCGAGCTCAGCATGAAGATATATCACCTCGAGCGCCGTCTCGTTGAAGGAGTAGAGCCTCGCCGTGCGTCTGCCGAGCCCGAGGCGGATAACTTTTACGACTTTGACGACGGTGGGCCTGACCGCAAGGGCATTAACACAACAAATTCTGACTTTGAAGATAACAACCCTCTGGTTCAAGCCCTGCGAAAGGAACTCAATTCCATGCGAGCCAAAAATGATCATCTAACCGAAGACAATCATCATTTGACTGATACAGTGGATGATCTTCGTGAAAAGAACATAGCGGATTCCGACACAGCTGAGGATAGGGTAGCGGGGCTTCACGCCCAAATTCAAACTCTAACTAATCAAGCAGAGGATTTGCAAAGCGAGAAGATGACACTTGAAATTGAACTTGCGCAGTTGCGAGAGAGCCTACAAACCACTCTGGAAGAAAATGAGAGTAGGCAACGAAGCAAGACTGCCACTCTGGCTAGATGCGATGGACTTCGAATTCAGCTTGATGCTACCGCTAGCGTATTAGCGCAGATCACCGAAGAGAACAGAAACGCCTTGCAAAAAGTAAGCGAAAAAACCACGCAGATGATTGCCATGGAGATGGAATTGGAAGAGATGAAGTCATTTGTAAAAAAGGCTCACAGTGGAAATGAAAAGGCGGTACAAGAAATGCAAGCGGCATGCACTATGATTGAGAATCTCCGACTTGAGAGAGATACCGCCACCAAGCGGTTTGAACTTGAAAGAAAGAGCAAAAAAGTCTGGACTGAGACAGAAAAGCAATTACATGGGGATAAATTGCTGCTTTCCGGAAACGAAGGTGCACTCGAACAGTTCCTAAACCTATTGCTGAAGCAAGGGAAGGTATACGAGAACAGAACTGACTATGAACCGGAGTGGCAAGAGATGATTATCAACGATATGAATGAATGCCTCCGGGCACTGTACCGCTCACAACGGGAAGTAGAAGCGAAGAGAGAGCATTTTATTGACAGCCTTTGCTTACCTTCTCGTAAGGAGTCCTCCGGGGTCGGTTCTCAAGCCACTGCGACGGCAATCGTTTCGTAGTGCATCAGACATCGCAGGCGTTCTAGGATTCCTACATCCATGAAAGGCTCGGAGCCCAACTTCAGCCGACCAAGACGAGACCGAAGTGATGATTTACTCATCCAATGTCTTTAACCAACGCCACCTGTACATCGCAATCTGTTATGTTAAGTCGGTCTCGGCATCCTTCACTTCCTCCTCAAATGTTGATCCAGCTCTTCTTTCGACGTCATCTTCGACAGCTCCCGCATCAGATTGAGTTGGGACCGCAAGCTGTTGCTCAGTAGCGGATGAGTCCGTGTCCTCCTCGGGTTTGGTATCTGGCGGTGATGTTGTAGCGGAAGGGGCGTTGATATTACCAGCTTCAGCTGTTTCCACTCTCTTCACACTATTCCACAGGCACGCGAGGCTTGGGACTTGATCTGTGGAAACACCGAAGCCCCTGATATCATCCATAAACTTAGCGACATCAAGGTACAGTTGCATTGAAATTTTTTCTATGACACTCATCGCGGAACCAGACCCAGTTGAAGTCCCGCTTCGACCTATGTTGAGTCGGCGCAATGTAGCTTCACTGCTCTTGTTCCGTTGCAGTAGGTCTGTCGCCATGTTAAAATACTCCATGGATGTCTGTTCGCACACCACTGTCGCAATCTTAGTTCGCTCCACTAGTTCAATCGCATCTTCGTATTCCTTCGTGAATATTTTTAAAGGCCGCAGGATTTTTGGAACGAAGGTAGAGTGGGTATTCGGTGCCTGCTTGGAGGACATTCGGTAGGTTGCAAGGATACCCCGCAAGGGCTGGAGATTCTCCACACAGCTCTTGGCGAGAGAGTCTGATATCGAGCGTGAAAGCTCCGGGAGAAGGGAAGAGTAGCTGTCGCAAGCATCTGAGAATGCACTGTCCAGACTGTCAAGAACTTCTGAGGAGATTGAAGATGCTCGCAAGCGCAAAACAGAAGAAAGCTCGGCTGGAATGCGTTTTTGCACAAGAGTAATGTCGTAGAATACTCGAGCTGCCCCCTTTGGAAGTGCGTCAGACGAAGTCCATTCGCCAGCCAGGCCAGTGCGAACCCACGTGGAGTATCGCGCTAGGAGCTGGAGCGACAGGCGCAAGAACCGATGAGTTAGAGAGGGTAAAAATACATCTTGAGACCAACAGCGTCGCAGGGATGCGACCAGACTAGCCGTTGGTATTGCCCGATACACATCCGTCCTCAAAAGCCTTGAACCGGAATCGCTCTTGTCATTCGTAGCGAAAGGAGAACCTGCCAGCGGAGCAGGACCCTCGCTGAGATGCTGGTCAAACTTGCTTGTTACTTCCTGAAAGCGAAGCTGGAAGTACACTGGCAAATTCCAGTGCTTCCAGAAGTCTTGGGTCGGTGCAGATTTGCGCAACTCATTACGATGCAGTTCGCTCCCAACACCTGCTTCAATGGCAGCGTACAACCTATTCCCTGCGAGCACGCTTTGATGAAACACGTCCGGTATACCTGGGGAAAAGGCAGCCGACATATGAGATGATATTGCGTTTTGAATTTGAGGCCATACTGCCCGCCCCACAAAGTCTAGCTTTGCTCTTAAGCGCTCCTCAGCCTCACAAAGACTGACAATCGGCATTACCTTTTCTCCAAGAAAGTTTATAACTTCCGCTTCGGCAGCTTCCAATGCATCCGCAGCTGTCACAGAAATCTGCTGCGATCCATCCGCTTCAGGTTTATCCTTGGAGAGCTTCCCACGGGGAGCCTGTGCGGTGGCCCGCTTCCTGTTTTTTTCCGCAACTGCTAGCATTGGTGTCATTCGGAGATGTTGAGCGGTGAATGGTGAAACGATTTCACGACGGAAAAAAGCTTCTGCCGCAGCAGTCATACCCGATACTACGTACATAGCAAGCACACGACTCAGTATTTCAATATTGTAGACAGACTCTGTCTTTTTCGCTGCTTTTGGGAAGAGCGCGCGACGGAGCCAAGCTTCAAGACAGGTTCGTACACCGCGGCGGATAGCTGATATGCGAACAGAAATAGAGCTCAAGAATGCACCATTGATCGCACGACTGAGTACGAAAGAGAGTTGTGCAGCTTCGCCGGCAATCCTTTCAACTAGACGCAACCCCTCCTCGCTTGGTTTGCTCGCCATGGGTGCATACTCTCTAAGCAAACGCTCACACTTCAGCAACAAGTCATTGGCGCCGGTGAGAGTGCGTAGTGCGCTGGTTTTCGATGCAGCCTCACGACGCGCTACAAGCGTTCTATCCAAGCTCGAGATCTGATCATTCAATGAACTGAGAAGCGCAGCCAAATCGCGACGCAAAGTAAGGAGAGGTTTCGAGGCTGCATCGGAAAGAGCGTCCGCGTCTGCAATTGCCGGGCCGAAGGAAGTGAATGTGTGAAAGTCTCGTTGCACGCAGCTGACCAATTCGGCTTGCAGAGATGACATGTGAGAGCGCAAATCATCACGCACTACGCGAAGGGGAGCATGCACGCGCACTGAGGCAATAAAGGATTGAGGAGTGAAGGATGATGAGATAAGGTCTGCTGGATTGAACGACAAGGACTTGGATTCAGACGACGAGGCGCCCATCGACGAGATCTTTGAGCGCGGCGGCGCCAATTTCGCTTGCATGGCGCCGTGCAAGGCTGAATCTGTCTGCGAGGAGGAGAGGGCGGTCGAACGGCAGGCGGTGAGCAAAAGCTGCGGAAACCTTAGCTGACATCAGAAGGGGCCAGCTCGAAATTGGGAACAAAACGGGCACCTTGATCAAAAAATATATTGATATTCGGAGCAAAGTGCATCGGCTTTTAATTTTTTTGCATGCCCCATGCCCCGTGGCCTAGCTCTGAACGATGTTGTTCCCTCAAGCAGAGCATTTCTCTGCACTGTTGCATGTCTGTATATTCTGTTGCATGTCTGTTATTTACGTTTAGATAAATGTTACAATATGGCACCATCACAGTAATGGAAACATAAGCACTAGCATGCTAATGGATGCGAGTCACCTGTTGCGATGCCTTGATGTGTCGGACAAGCCGTGTATGAGGTATTACTTCATTTAAGTTGGGCACCTCCGCACCGCAGAACGCATCTTTAGTTCTGTGAACAATAAGAGTCATTGGTCAGTGTCTCGTTCCAACCATCGCTTCTAAGCTGCCTTCCGCAACTGCTCACAAACAACTGTTCTGATAGATGACCACAGCCCCATGCATAAACTCTGTTCGCTCTGCCCTTGAAACGAATTAGTTTGTACTTCTACTGTTGCAACCTGGAACGAAACTATGCCCTCTGCATCAGAAGGGCTACTAAGGGCTACTATTCACAGTGCGACTTTCGAGTGAAGGCAGATGCGCAGTCTGTTGATTGACCTGCAAATCTACATGCGGTAGTTGAAAGTGTGGAGTCGAGACTACCGCTGCCCACATTGCATGACGTATTTGCCAACGTTGCTCACGATCCAAGCACCCGGTGCCGCAGGCGATTCTTTGCCCCATCCGGCAAACTTCACAAGCTTCGGAATTTCACCGGGAAGTCGCGCGCACTCAACCCCTGTACCACTAGTATGAGTGTTCCACGCCCGCACGACGGAGTCATCTCCACCCGCCAGGAGGATTCCGCCAGTAGTTGTTTCCTCAATGTCAAATTTTAGACTCTTGTGAGAGTTTCTATGTCCGTTGAACACCACGGCAGGTTCCGAAGAATATTTTCGCAAATCCCATTTCGCTAAATTGTTGCTTTTGTTCCTCATGCATGATACATACAAATAGTTTCCGTCTGTACTTAACTTCAAGTCAGTAACTGCCGAATGCTTTTTCGAAGGTCTGAAAGAACACGCTGGTCGATGAGGCCGCGTCCTAACATCCCATATATATATATTGCCAATGCGTGTACCAGTCAGCACCTGATTTGGCGTCGCCGCAACAGATAGCCCAGCTGAACCATCTGGGTGCGGAAATCCTGTGAACCGACCAAGATCAAAACGTTGCGTCATCGTATCCCCGGCAATAAATACGTTGCGCGATTGATTCTCAATCGTAACAGCATGTGATGGCTCCATGCTATGACAGCGCATAAAAGAGGACGGACGAGACCTTTCTTCACTGGAGCTTCCAAGAGGGCAAACGGTGACTATATGGTGAATGTCGTTTCGATAAACGATACAGCTCGTTGCGGCAACCAGTCCAGGAGGGCATGACCAATACATATCCAGGATATCAAGGCCGTTTAAGAAGTAGCCTTCAATTTCGAAAGTCGGGTAAGTGCAAAGCGCTATTCTCTTGCAACCTCGAAGTACCGGTATTGCATCAGGCATGTATGAATCATTTGCTTGCTGCCGACGTTCGCGGAAATGAACCGGCTTTACTTTTGAGTTCGCAAGCAACGTCATTGGCAGGGAATGTGGAATCATCGCATCTCGCCCCTCCTCTGTGCGACGCAAAAATTGTGAAACAGAAGACCCTCGTTTAGCTTTTTCTGCACTTAGATGTTCAGGTCCATTGGAAGAACGACTGGGAGGCCCCCTGTTATCATTCGTTCTTCGAAAGTACCGATTCCGCGATGCATCATACCACATGCCGGGAATCTCCGGCATCGCTGATGTCGAGGCCATTTTCCATAGCACGGTAGAGGTCCAAGGCGCAGTCGATTAGTTTTCCCGTCAAGATACCGGCGGTCTGTGCAGTCTAGTCAAAGATCAAACTAAGCAAAACCTCAACCGGAAGTATTCCAAACCTTGAACTTAGAGCCGGCTTCGTCCAGAAATCAATATCGAACTGTTGTCAACGAAATTGATGGTAGAAACGCATTACGAACTGCTTTTCCTTTGCTCCCTTCAATGCCAGGCGTCTGCTCTCTGTTCGACTACAATTCGTCGCCGAGTGCCAAGATGTCGTAGGTGTCCTAAAACAGTTTTTTAGAGGAGGCGAGTACGAGGAGTTTGACTTAATCACGCACTTACCCATGCAGATATTCTTATATTTTGGATGAAATTTTCAGTACAGTATGATATACTGCACCCTTGGGTACTGTATTTTAGCCTCCTCGACGCCGTCGCATACTCGTAAGTCGCGCGTTGCTCGGATGCGCTCTTTTCTGCTCAGTACATCTTCTTTCGCTCCATTTCGGATAACGTTACGCACATCCTTCGCTACAAACAGGATGGGATCTGGTGACCCGCTATCCCGCACCACAGACCAAATTAGGGCATCCAAGAACTTAAAGAAGAAGAGGAAAATCATCGCAAAGAAAAAGAGGGTAAAGGCAGAGAAGCGCAAGCGCAAAGGAAAAGTAAAGAAGCTGGCAGCTTTAAGGAAGAGTCAGGAACCGGGTGAAAGCAGCAATCCGCTGGAGAAAGAGAAGGACGCGACTTTGTCGTCTGCTTGATTGGACACATGGCAGCCGTCCTGATCAATTATGTCGGACCAGACGTCAAAGGACAGTCCCTCCGTAGCCAGTGTTCTACTCGGGCTTTCCTACCTTCTTTCACAGGTAACCCAAGAGTTGATTCCCCCTGAACTGGCTTGGATTCGTCCAAAAGTAATGGAACCCTTCATGCGAAACATGCGCCAGTGCTCTTCACCGCATGGGATTGGATCGACCATGCAGAAGAAGGGCTTTTTGCTGCGCATGAAACATGCTCGGTTGACATAAACCAAACCTGTCTTCGTTCAGTATCGAGTTACTAGGACGCGCTTTCAAACCCTGAGTCGCGTCGAAGGACGTCTGAACGTCGCCGCCAAGGGAGTTGCCAGCTTATGTTTCATCCTGCATTCCAGCTTCTTGTTCTCTGCATTGTGACTATTGTCATGTAGTTACATTTGATACGGACTGGGTAGTTTTCAACGGCGACCGGGTGATAACAAGAGCTTCTCAATACCTGCATCAAGCCGTGGATAACGGCCTTGAAAATGTAAAATGGCACTACGGTGAGCGAGAAGTTTCGGAGAGGGTTGAGCGCCGTCGGCGTTCTCTCTGTAGATTCTGCACCGAACCTGCTCGCACACTTGTCATTCACATGCACATCCCGAGGTCTAACGGCACTGCCTTGGCTCTTGTATTGAAGTCGGAATGTGGCTCCGGCCCATTCCTCAGCATCAGACGAGTTACTAGTTGCAAGGTGGTGTCCCCATGTTCTGACAGACCCAGAGCTTCCCCTCACAGCAGTTCGACAAAGCCTGTGTTCTGCGAAGCACAAATCATATTCAACGCCATATTCGCGGAATCGCAAAACGCAAGAATCATTTCTTGCTGATTCGGATTCCTGAATGATTCTGGACGGGCACGGGCACATTCTATTCATAAACCTTGTTACATCAGGATGGCCGTGCGGTGTTCATGTTACATATTCTCAACTTCAGATGCAATACCGACATCTCAAGCTTCCTGGTATTAAGCCCCTTGCCGTGAACGTTTTGTGTGATCCTCTTGCGAGATTTGTCTCCCATTCTACCAACTTGCAAATTGCAGAATTGCCATAGCACTATGGGACTGGGGTATCAACCGCGAATTTTCCCTTTCTTTAACAGACTTTTTCAGTATGCCTTTTTCGTTTTCGTTTCAAAGTCAAATGTCGACGCTACTGAGCAGTAACCAAGTGAAAAAATGCGGCTCCATGTGAAGATGGGCAGTCTCCAAATGTCGGCAGAAGGCTCTACATCGGGCGCCGAACGTGGTTCAAATCAATGAGGATTTCTTGTTTGGCTCAACTGAAGAACTGGAAATGACCCTGGGGTTGTTTCCGTCTGTTTTCCGTCGATCTTTTAAAACCCCATTGCATTTCTATCACAATTAGTCAGGCGAGGGCTTTGAGAAGGCGAGGCTCAGCATTCATGATTAGCATGGGAATTCGTTGATGCTAACCGTGAAACGACAGCAATAGTTCAAATACAAGGCGCAATAAAAGGTTATTGCCTACTGACATGCAAAACGGCGTTTCTGCTAGTACCGTAGAAGCAACGCGCTCTTTTCAACGCCTACCTTCAGATTTTTCCATTGTTAGAAGATGCGCGATGTTTTTGGACTGGTTTGCACCGAACAAGTCTGTTAGATCGGACTAAATGTTCTAAGGCAAGGCAAAAAGCATTTCTGCAGTGCTCAACATCAGGTCTAGAGCACCAGGTTTCTCTGCCTCGTCGGCGCAGCTTTAACGATATGAAGAGCTACCCCCCCAACACCTATGTCTACCGTTCCACAACATCAGCAGAAAGCCCCACACGTTTGCGCTGCTGGGATCGACTCGGGCACTGGCTCTCTCTCGCACTTCGGCTGATTCTCTTCATCAAAGCGGACATACCAAAGCCCTTTCTGTATAAGTCGTGCTTTCTTCCTAGATGTATGAATGAAATTGTTGCGCAATATAACGAAATCTCTTCTCTTGCACATAGCTTTTAGCGCACTCCGCGAGTGCGAGAAAACTTTAACGTGGCCAAACTGTTCTTTTCCCGATGGAAATTGTTGGCTCGGTAGTACCCGAATTACAGCCCCGTGACTCTCACAGCGGAATGGCACCTCGCCGTACGGCTCGTAGATTTTTCGACCCCCATACTCACTTTCACAGAACAGTTTGTTCACGACATCATGGTCATGTGCTCCCAAGGCGACATGTCCCAACAATTGATTGAATAGTGCTAAGGCCTGGAGGCTCGACCTCACAAAGAAAAACCCTGAGTTTAATGTCCGATACCCAGCATCTGGTTGTATCAGCACATCGGCATCCCGGTAATGTTCATGTTCCAATAGATGATTTAAGAATGTTCCCGCGTCTCTGCACCAGAAAATATCTGTATCGGAAAACAAAACATCAAGTCCAGTTTTGAGGGCAGTTTTCACTGCGGCGATCTTCTTCTTTGCGGTTGAATTATGGAGTATGGCCCGCTCCTCATCAAGGATTCCGTCAGCATTTTGCTCTTCTTCATCAGCAAGGAGCACAGAGGAAAGCCCAACAGATGCAGAAAAGTCATGTGTTTTGCGGTCGAAGGAATAGACTATTGGTGCTCGAGAAGGACAGACATGATGAATATTGCAAGCAAGGTTTGCTAGAAACTCTCGGTTCAAAAAGTTTGAAGCTGTAACCACAAGCAAACGCGGCGTCCTTTTTAGTGTAGCGCCTGCGAGTAGATAACCGGCAGTACCTCGATGGTAGACACGGAAGAGCACAATAGAGAGGAGGGTGATAGCAGAGAAAGCTCCACATATCGGATAGTGAGAAGGGCGCCTGTGGCGTGAATGGCTTCGATGTATCATTTGAATCGACTGCACTTTCTGCGACTACATCACAAGGATATGATCTACCGTATATTCGTAGGGACGACTCGAAGCTACGCAAAAAAAGTGGTCCGAGGACAAAAATATTTGGTGGTCGTGCACATTGGCCCTGCATGTCACTTATTCTGATTTCCTATCGCGCTTCCGTCTCCCCGGGAGTAGTTTTTCTACGAGTAAGAATATTCAGATACTGTCTAGCATGTGAGCCGGTGTTTGACTATTATTCTAAAACAAGATCCGCAGATCGATAATAGCTGCCACTTGAGATAGTGTTGGTGAGTCTGTTCACTACCTGACAACTTCTGCATCTCTCGCAGAATGAAATCATACTTTCTAAGCAGCACTTTAGCTAATAGATATCGCTGGGCCGTCGTGGAGCTTATGTTTAAGAGATAAGGTTTGGGCACACTGGTACTTCTCAGAATTGTCCCTTAGCCAAACATTCGTACAAAACTTGAGTAAACTACCGTATCATACCTCAGTTCATCAAGTGAATCAAGTGATTGATGCTGCAGTACAGTATCACTATGTTCCAATTTATTTCATTATATCAGTAGTCATTGAATAAAGCATTTTCATCATTATATCAGGGTGCTTTCAGCCTGCGCGCTGGTCACAGATTTTGGTGTCTACAATCGTCTAAGAGCTGATAGCCAAGGCTTTTTGGACACTTCCATTGAAAGAGTGTCAAAGGGAAAGTACGAGCCGCAAAAATGATCGGACCGGCATGTATGACGGGCATAAACAGATTCTCTCAAGAAAACGATGTAACTCGATGTTGATTCCATTCGATGAGCATGATTGCCGTTCGGAATGGATCTACAAGGAAAAAGAGAAAAATAAAGAGGGGGTGGGGGCTTACTCGTAAAGAGTTGTTTGCGCAAAAAATTTCTTAACGAAAAGACTTTCAACATCGCATCCCACGAGACGCTCGAAACTGCCCAGCAGTAGTCATGTATAAATCGTGACATACGCACCAAACTTGCTCACAATCCCTCAGCTGGGAACATACTGACCTCATTTATGTGAGAATAAACGTTATAAAAACTTCAAAGGAATGAGGAAATCGAATATTATGTACTTGTCCAGATGCACAAGAGTATAGTCAAACTTATCGTCGAGGCGTGATGCTTAGTAGGACCAGAG